TACAAATAATGCTTGCTGATGGTTTTAGGTAGATGCTTCTTATCATTTTAAGGAAAAATCCATTTATACCCATGCTTTCAAGTGTTTTTAATAGGCATGAGTCTTGCATTTTGTTAAAAGCTTTTCTGCATCTACTGATATAATTGTATGATTTTTGTTGCTTTTGTTATTGAGATGATCAATTATGTTAATAATTTTCCTTATATTAAACCACCCCTGAATTCCTGGCATGACTCCCACTTGGTTGCAAATGTGGTTTCTCTTCAAGGAAGAAAGAAGGCCCTCCTCTTCGAAACTTTGTTGATCTAGAGAATATGGATATTAAAAGTCCATGTGGGGAGCCTTTGGGGAGCTGGTATTCCTGAGGTTTGAGAGAATTCCCATTTTCATTCAGCTCATCTTTCTGACCCAGCATTGCTGCTCTGATGAATGAAAAGGAACAGAGAGGAATACGAATGTACTTTTAGCAAATTACATCATTTTATCTTGGTAGGTGTCAATTTATTTTTACTTTATTTTATGGTCCATAAATGTTTTATTGCAAACCAATCCTGAGCCTGTGAACTATATCTGACTCAGAACACATTCTCTTCATACCCTAAAATCTCTATGTTTCTAAATAGCTTTGCTTCAGAGAATGAGGCATCCCTATTGTTTTCCAAGATTAACTTGTACCTTTGATACCATCCCTGTCTCCAATATTTTGCTCCACCAATTATCCTCTGTCTCATGAATCTTCAATCTCTTCTTCTCCAGTGTCTCATTCCCATCTCCCCAAACATGTTCTTTCTTTCATCTTTAAAGGGGAAAAAAAAGGCCTCTCCTCTACCTTATCCCATCTCTTTGTCATTCAGAGGCAAACTTCTCCAAAAAAGTAGTCTATGATACCTACATAATCTGCTTCCATACCACTGTACTGAATCTGCTTTCCAAAGATCATCAATAATGTCCTAATTTTCCAAATCAAAAGTCTTTCTTAATTCTTATCCTCCAATTCTGCAGCTTTCGACACCCTTCCCCTTCTTTATACATTCTCTTCTCTTGGATTTAGAAAAAACACACTGAATTTTGCATTTCATTACTTTATCTTCATTAGCTCCTCTTTCCTGACCTCAGAGGTTCTGTTCTTGGCCCTCTCTTCCTTCATCCATTAATCAATCAATTAACATTTCTTTCTCCTTTCAATCAATCAGTAAGCAAAAGATCCCAGTGTGAGGAGCTGAGCTAAATTCATGGCGTACAAAGACAAAAGCAAAAGTGTCTGCACTTAAAGAGCTCACATTCTAACAGGATGACAACATGTACATATGTAAGCACATGAAGTATACACATATATTCATTACACACACACACACACACACACACACACACACACACACACAATGAACACAAGTTTTGGGAAAGAAGGTACCAGTAGCTCAGAGGATCAAGATATATTCTCCCTTGGAAATCTCATTAATTCTCTTGGTTTCAACGGTCGTCTCCACACTGCCTTGAGAGGTGGAAGGGCACCCATGCATGGAATGCTGGACTTGGTGTCAGGAATATACAAGTTCTAATATTTACTAGCTGTGTGAGCACAGACAAGTCACTTTAGCTCCCTCATAATGTTATCTTTCAGGGTCATTGTGGGGCTCAAATAAGAATGTTATGTAAGATGAACTGCAAGCTTTAATGCATTATATGTCAACTGGTATTATCACAAATGACTCTCAAATTTATATCTCCATATATATGATACCCTTTCTGCTGAACCTAGAACCCTATAAAAACATCTCCTTCAGATGTTTCACAGCATCTCAATATGTCCAAAATCACATTATTTTCCCATTCAATATGCTCTCCCCTTCTAACTCCCCATTTCTGTTAGAGGTCACCAGTTACTTATGTTTGAAATTTCAACTGTATGTTTGATTTTTCCCTTTCTCAAACATCCAAACAGTTGTTAAGAATGAATTACAGAAATAGCATCCTAATAAGTCTTCCCAGCTCCACTTTTCCTACTTTAATCCAACTTTTGCCAAATTAGCTTCCTTTAGGTACAAACTTAATAACTTTTTTTTGCTTAAAACCTTTCAATATTCTCCATTATCTACCAATTAATCTATTTTCGGTACTCATCTTATATAACTCCTTTCTATATGTGTCATAGTCCAGTCAAACTGAACTACTTCCGAAGTCCTTAAGCACATCCCATTATATCCCACATCTGTGCCTTTGTTCATGTTGTTCCCAATACCTGGAAAACCCTCTTAACTCTATCCCTTCCCGCTTATCCTCTGCCTTTTGAAATCCAATGTTTTTTAAGGTACAATTAAAATTTCATCAGAAGAAGGTTTCTCTCATCCTCCCTAGTCAATAATATTCTTTCTTCCTTCAGACTCTGATTAGCACTTGGCTTTTACCATCTCTTTGAATTTTTGTGTCATTTTGTATCATTTTTTGTGGATGTGTTTGATACCCCTACTTGACTGTGACCTCCATTAAGCCAGGGCTAAATCTTAGTATTAATCTATCTTTCCCTAAGTGCTTTCTAGGGCAGCTAGGCCGGATTATCTGGCCTGGAGTCAAAAAGACTCATCTTCCTGAATTCAAATCCAGCCTCAGACACTCACTGGTTGTGTGACCCTGGGCAACTCATTTAACCCTGTATGCCTCAGTTTCCTCATCTGTAAAAAGCTGGAGAGGGAAATGGCAAAGCACTCCAGTATCTGAGCCCAAAAAACCCCCAAAAGGTGAGGAAAAGAATTGGACATAATTGAAATGACCAAACAACAACAAAAAGTGCTTTCCAGTGCTCAAAAAGTACACAAGCATTATGGCCTAGTACACGGAATTCTAGACTTGGAGTAAAAGAAAGTGAGTTGAAATCCTGCTTCTCAGGCACTTATAAACAATAGCAAGTCACAATCTCTGAGAATCTCAATTTCTTCATCTATAAAAGGGATGGCATTTGAGGAAAGTACTCTGAAAACCTTAAAGTACTACACAATGCATTGTGTTTGATAAGTATTTGTTGAATAATTAAGACAATAAACAATCTGTTGGAATAAATAAAAATATTTCAAGTCCATTTTTTAAAATTCTTATGTTCTCTGGTATAAATTGTTTTAAAATTTTATCTTTAGGAACAAAGACAGGAACTAGAATAGTTTATATCATTCAATGAACAGACTATTATTAGTAAAGTCAACAACATAATTATCCAATAAATTTATAAGTACTTTCATCCCAACAATACTGGGAGGTAGATAACGCAAGATGTGAAAACAAAGATTCAGAAAGGTTAATCGACTCCCACAAAGTAACCCATTTAGAAAGACTCAAATCCAAAATTTGAACCTAAGTCTCAAGACTCCATCACTTTAAAGGATTAAAATCATTCAGTGCTTCAGCTGCAACTACATGTCTGAGTTAGAATGATTGGAACCAGGGAGGCTTCCCCAGGGGCTGGCCCAGGCAACTACCATGAGTGTCCTATGGTGACTGCAGCAAGGCTCCTCACACATGCAAGGCCACAAGGGCTTACTTCTACTTGAGGGATGGGAAATACATAGAGAAAACTGATACGTACCTCCCGTGGGGTGGCACATACTGCCAGTCCGACAAGACCTGTGGTCTACAAAAATAAAACACTCTGGTCATTCCCGGTTAATCTACGAGGAGAGGGGGAAGGAGAAAGGGAAGAGGAGGAGGAGAGTGGAGAAGGAAGAAGAAAGGTGAGGAGGGAGAAAAAGGAGGATAGAAGGAGGGTGAAAGGAGAGGAAGAAAAGGGAGAAGGGGGAGTGGAAAGAGAGGAGGGAGAAGAGCAACGTTAAGAGAGAGAGAGAGAAAGTGGGAGTTAGAAAGAGGGGTAGAAAGGGAGGAGGGAGAAAAGGGAGAAGGTCGAGGAGTAAAAGAGAGAAGGCAGTGGGGAGGAGAGAGAGGAAGGGGGAGGGGAAAGGAGAAATATAAGGGAACGGGAACGGGAGAGGATCAGGTCCGCAGGGGCGCCCGCGGCCCCGCAGGACCTCAGCGAGCTCTCAGCCAAGCCTGCCCGGCGCCGAGAGTCTGAGGGAGCCTCTCGTGGCCTCCAGAGAAGACACGGAGCCACTCCGCGATCCATCCCCGCCCCGCAGTCTCGACCCCCCGGGGCCATCCGCCCGATCACGGTCTGCGCCCCGTCTGACCTCCAAAGGGCCCCCTCACCTTCTTCAGCACCCCGGCCATGACAGCAAAGCAGCAGGCGTCGCCGCGCAGCACCCTGGGAAGGTACTGCTCTCAGACCCGTTGAATCCACTACCGAGAATCCAGAGCCTACGGTCGCCCGTAGCAACCGAGCTTAAACTACAGGCCGGAGTGGAAGGACCGAGAGGAAGTAACCTCCCACTCCATAAAAGGTTTGGGGCCTGGATAGAAGCTGGACGCACGCGCTCTGATTCCCAGAGCACCTAGTCTAGAGAGAGGCGCATGCGTACAAAGATCGTGAGGTGACGTCGCAGAGCTTAAAAGAAAGGGGTAGATGCGCATGTGTGTGAAATTCCCCAAGTCTTCTTCGCTTTGCTGTTATTTTGTTAACAATGCCCTTGACCTGCTTCAGTTACAGAAGTTAAAAAGAACTCAGCAGGCAGCAAGATAGACAGCCTGAAATTGTAACCGGTTAGCTGTACGAACTTTAGCTGGTTTGTAAACTCAGTAATAATATTTGTGTATATTCACCAGTAATTCAAACACTGGATTTGACATCAGACTTCTTGTGTGACCTTGGGCGCCTTAACCTCCCTGGGCTCAGTTTCCCCAGTTGTCAAACGAGATTGGGTTAGATGATCTTCAGCTCTAAATCTGGTGCAGTGGATAGAGCACCAGCCCGGATTCAGGAAAATCCTAGTTCAAATACGGCCTCTGACACTTACTTAGCTGTATGATCCTGGGCGCATCACTTAATCCCTATTTGCCTCTGTTCCTCATCTGTAAAATCCGGATACAGTGGAGAAGGAAATGGCAAACCACTCCAGTATCTTTGCCAAGAAACCATCAGACACAACTGAACAATGAAAAAGTAGATATTTTGAATTCTGAAAAATGTGCATTGTTCTGGTTGTAATACTATTTTCTTTTAAGCCCTTGAAGCAATATAGGAGGTGAGGACATGAAGACTACTGCAGTAACATTTTATCTCATTTCAAGCACTGGACTATGACATCCCATTTCCTCATAACTCCAATTGAAATTATGCACTCCATTCCTTTTCTTTGTTCTTTTCCATTCAAGCACTTCTCACTGTTTATTATTGCCATAGGCCAACGGAGATGGTGCCTTGAAAATAATAGAAACTTAGTTACCTTTGGAGTGGCCTTTTTCCTTATGTCTCTTCCAGAGTGTAGCAGGGACTAGGGGGAGGAGGGATTTTCCTCTTCCCCCATTCAGCTGAACAACGTGCTCACTCGGATACACCCATCCAAAAGAGATCCAGAGTTCTACTGCAAAGTTACGGTGAATTGCAGAAAGCAGCAGATGGGGAGAGCTTAGTGCAGAGACTAGCTCAGAAGAGATGCTATGCCCAGGGAGAATATCATAAGGATACCATGAAGAAAGACTTTGGAAAAAAGAGGTATGAGTTGTCTTAGCTACCTCTGTCCCCTATCCATGTGCCTCTCCATCTCTATTTCTCTGCTCTGTATGTGTGCCTGCTGTTCCCACTTATGCTATTTGTATTTGTGGGAGAGTATACTTCACTTTTATGGTGGCATTATTTTGTGTTGTTGAGTTGCGTCCAACTCTCCCCATTGGGGGTTTTCTTGGCAAAGATACTATAGTGTTTTGCCATTTCCTTCTTCAGATCATTTTACAGATGAGGAATTGAGGCATACAGGGTAACTTGCCCAGGGTCATACCCCTAGTAAATTGTCTGAGGCCAAATTTGAACTCAGATCCTCCTGACTTCAGGGCCAGCACTCTATCCACTGTACTACCTAGCTGTTATGGCTCTAGCTCTCATGATGCATTTTAATAAATGCTTTTGCTTTGAGCTGATTGTGTCAACTGATTATCTGTTAAAAGTGAACACACTGATAGTTGTGTTATGGTGTAAAAGGTTGAGAGGTTGTGACTCCTCAAAGACCAGAGTACAGGACGGGTCATCTGGAATGAATTCACAGACTCAAGCATTCTTTAAGTCAAGGTGGCAAAGATTTATTGTTATGCTTTTCAGCGGGCAAAAATTCCTAAGGATTCTGTGAGAGACTGAGAATGCAGCTAGGGTTTATATGGAAAAGAGCATGGGAAAGAAATGCCAGGAATACTGATGAGGTAATCCAAAAGTGCAGGTGTCTTTGGGGGCTACGGATGGGAAAGTACAGGGAGTATACCGGACAGGGAGGGAGATGACAGAGGTATGGATCTTTGGAGTCTGACAGGAGGAAAAGTCCTTGGCCTGGCCAAGGACAAAACTCCTTGGGCTGGGCAAGGCACCCCTCTCTCTCTGTCTTGATGAGAGAATGTTCTGCAACAAGGGAAAGCTTTCTTACAAGACAGGAACTTACTAAGGAATTGGGAGGCTTCCAGAGACATAATCTGAGGGCTGGGGCCTGAGCAGCCCAGCTCTGTGTAGCTGTACCAGGGATAGAGATAAGGGTCTTACTGAGGACCATGCATGAATAACTGCTAGGCACAGTGTCCCTGGGCTGGGGAGAAACTGTCAGGGATAGTGTTTCTGAGGCTAGGGAGAAACTGGGGTACAAGTAAAAGCACAAGCACCCAAACACAAGCACCAAAGCACCCCATCAGTTGCTAATAAGCCACATTAGTATAGACCCACAGAGTGCCTTAGACCTGGAGTAGACATCCCTCTGGGGATCCAATCTACAAATATGAGTTGGGGGTGATACTCCAAAGGTGGAGCTAAAGTACTAACAATGACCATTGCATTTGACTAGAGTTTTGTTACCACCCTGCAGTGTATTAACAATGTTGTAATCATTGTATACGTTGTTCTTTTGGTTATACTTTCTTGACTCTTCTTCACTTCATACAAATCTTAACATGTGTCTTTGAATTTTTTGTTCCATTCTTTATGAACAAGTAATATTTCATTACATTTATATACCATAATTTATTTAACTGTTCTTAAATTGTTGGCCCCATATTTTATTTCCAGCTTTTTATTACAAATAAAGCTGGCTATGAACATTTCTTGACATCTTCATCTTGCTATCAATGATCTGTTTGGCATACAGTCCCAGTAGTAGTCACTGGGCCAACAATTTTGTAATTTTCTTCTTTTTTTTGCAGAATTCCAACTTTTCTTTTTTTTTTTTTTTTAGGAAAGGTCAATTCAATTCATAGCTCTACCAGCAGTGGATTAATGTGCCTGCCCTTCCTGCCACATCTCCAACAGTTTGCTCCGGTAGCCGTACCTAATGGTTGCTTTTGTTTTCATTTCTTTGATTATCAGTAGTTCGGTACATTTTTAGTTATTTATGTTAGCTTGTTTTTAAAAGAAGAAAAACAAGCTAAAAAAAAGAAAGAACTTTTTTATATCCTTTGACAACTTATCTATTGGGAAATTGATTCTTAAGCTTATGCAATAGAAAAGCTCACAGGATTTGGAGTCTGAGTATCTAGTTTTGAGTTCTACCCATTTCATTTACTGTTTATGTGACACTGGGCAAGTCATTTAACTTCTCTGGGCCTCAGTTTCTTTAACCGTAAAATGAACAAATTGGACTAGATGGCCTATGTGGTCCCTTCCAGCTCTAAATCTTTGATCCTATGATTTGAGTAAATGCCACATACATTATGGACATCATACTTTTATCGAGTTACTCATGGAAAGATTTAGTGGAGACAGTGGGCTTCCTTGCTTTACCCTTATCTTAGCTGGAAAACAATCAGTGTTTTCCTTTTACAAATATTACTAGCTTTTGATTTTAGATAGATCCTTTTATTCCTGTCCTGTTTTGGACATTGTTATAAGCATTTTCTGTATTTAGTGATATAATTTGTGATTCTGATATTTATTATTAATGTGATTTATGATATTTATGGTTTTCTTAATATTGAATTATCCTTGCATTTTGACTATCAATGCAACCTGGTCATAGTGAATAATTATTAGTATGTTGCTTTAGCTTCTTTGATAATTTTTTTTCTTTAGTATTCATTAATGATATTAATATGACTTGTTGCCTATAGATTCTATAATTCCTCATAGTATCAAGAGAACTGGAGGAAAGCTTCTAGCACATTGGGTGGCTCCTGCCATTATAGTAGGGCATACACAGGAATGGCACAGAGTGTACAAGAATGGATGACTTGCAATCTACATCACTGGAGGAAATACTCACGTTGATGACATGCCATTGGAGTGCCAGAGTATTGATCTGTAGTTTTCTTTAATGTATCTCTCTCTGATTCCTGATTCAGGTACCAGTGCCATATTTATCTCATAGAAGAAATTTGTCAAGCTGTCTTCATCCTTTATTTTGTAAACAGTTTAAGTAGTATGAGTTATTTGTCTTAATTGGCAAAGATGGCAAAAGATAGGAATAGTCACCCTCCCAAACCTTTTCTTCTTCTGAAATTCTCTATTCTAGGGACCCCATCCTTCTAATAGCCTAGGTTCACAATCTTGGTATCCTCCTTGAGTCCCTTCATTCACCCCATCTTACACATAGCCAATCAGTTGCCAGATTTTTAAAATTTCTTTCAGAAGTGTCAAACACACTGTTCATGGACCATACACAGCTCACAATACTCTCATATGCAGCCTGAACCAGATTAAAATGTAGTTCCTTATTTCAATGTGTTGATGTATTAATTTTAAAAAAATAAATATATACATGTATGGTTTTCTAAGTTAATATGTGGCCTGCAGGGATCTTTATGTACAGTTTAATGGCTCCTGTTTCTATTTGAGTTTGACACCATTGCTCTCCAACATCTCTCATATATGTTCCCTTCTCTTCACTCACTTAGTCACTGCCCTACTTTAGGACCTCATTACCTCTCAACTGAATTATTGTAAGAGTTTTCAAATTGTACTCCCTTCCTCAAGTCTCTTCCCACTCTAGTCTATTCTCTACTCAGCTGATAAAGCAATTTTCCTAAAGCACAGGTCTGACCATGTCATACCCCTGCTCAGTAAACTCCAGTGGCTTCCTATTAACTCTAGGATCAAATATAAAACCCTTTGTTTGGCATTTCAAGCTCTTCACAGCCTGGCCTTTACCTACCTTTCCAAATCTTGCATTCTATTCCTTTCCACACGTTCTGTGACCCAATCATACTGTCCTACTTCTGCCGTCCACACCGTACTCCATCTCCTTTCCCTGCTGTCATACTGGCTGTTCCCCATGAATGGAGAACTCTCCCACTCAACCTGTTAGAATATCTGGTCTCTTCTAAGACTCAGCTGAAGTACTACCTCTTCTAGAAGGCCTTTCCCAGTCTACCCAGTAGCTAGTGCCATTCCCTACTTGTATTACTTTCCCTCCACTCTATTTATCCTGATATAAATGTTGCCTGTCCCATTAGAATGTAAGCTCCTCCTCTTTGACCAAGCAATACCACTATTAAGTCTGTATTCCAAAGGGATCAAAGGAATAGCAAAAGGACCTATACATACAAAAATATTTACAGCACCTCATTTTGTGCTAGCAAAGAACTGGAAATTGAGGGGATGTCCATCAATTGAAGAATAGCTGAACAAGTTGCAGCATATGATTGTGATGAAATACTGTTGTGATATATAAGAAATGACAAAGGGGATGGTTTCAGAAAAACATGGCAAGACCTATGTGAACGGATGCAAAGTGAAGTAAGAAAAACCAGGGGATGACTGTACACAGTAACAGCAGTGTTGTATTGATGATCAACTGTGAAAGGCTTGCTTACTCTGATCAAAACACTGATCCGAGACAATTCCAAAGGATTCATGATGAAAAAATGCCATCCACTTCCATAGAGAGAACTGATGAACTCTGAGGGCAAACTGAAGAGTAATTTTCTCACTTTCTTTATTTTTCTTGCTTTTAAAAATGGCTATTATGCAAATATGCTTTACATGATTTCACATGTATAATTGAAATGTTATAGCTTGCCTTCTCAATGGGTAGGGGAGGGGTGGGAAGGCGAGAGAGAATATGGAAGTCAAAATTTAAAAAGAAAAAATGTTTTAAAAATAAATAATAAATTTAAATGTTAAAAAAAAAAAAGAAACTGCACATTTTAAAAAAGTGTTAGCTGTGATAAGACTGGTTCATAACTTCTTGAAATCTTACCTGGACATCAGGAAAAATATTAATACAGTTAAGGTGTGCATGGGTGACAGCTAAACTCAAGTTAGTGGTTCTGAATAAATCTGTTATGGGCAGAGAAAGCTAAAAAAAAAAAAAAGAAAAAGAGAGAGAATGTAAGTTCCTTGAGGGAAGACACTGATTTGTTTTTGTGTTGTTTTGGTGTTTTTGCCTTTTTTTGTATCCCCATTGGGTAGCACAGTGCCTGGCACAAAGTGAGTATTTAATAAATGCCTATGGATTGATTGATATATAACTCTTGGGCCCCCAAAAAATGAAAAAAAGAGTAGGGACTGTTGTTCTTGGTCAAGCAGACCTGCAGAGAACGTGCCAGATGTTAACAGATGGTGAAGAAGTGGTTGCTAGCTGCCACAACAATAAAAACAAAATAATCTGTTTCAGCCTGTATTTGCTAGCAATGAGGAGGTCATATCATGTATAGGGACTGCATAATCTCTTAAATATTAGCAATCTAACTTCCAATTTTATCCCTGTGTTAGCAGTTTATGTTCACATAGTGATTTAGAGTTATAAAGTGTTGTTCATATATTGGTCTACATTCATTTTACTGATTGAATATATGGGAGACTGCAAATAAGTAATTAATTTTACCTTTACAAACTTCAAAATAAAAGTAGTTCGATGACAGAAAAGTGGGAAGATTTTTAGTAATCATTTGAGAAAAAAATTGTTTATGAGAAAAATATAATCATAGAATTATTGATTTAGAGACAGAGGAGCCTTAGAGGTTTCCCCTGCCCCCACCCCCATTTTACAGATGAAACAATTGAGGCCCATGGAAGTGAAAGGTCTGCCTATGCACATAGGTTTTAAGTAGCAAAGTCAAGATTTGAACTTTATGCCTCTAACTCCAAATCCTACATTATTTCTGCTATAACTTAATTTCTATTATAAAAGTGCTAACTACTAAATTCTCATAGTACAAGTTACAAAGTTGGACATGTTTCTTTTTTGCATTATTTCAAACAATTGCCAGTTTCCTTCTATTCAAAATCTATATGTTTCTTTTCTTTTTTTTAGTGAGGCAATCGGGGTTAAGCAACTTGCCCAGGGTCACACAGCTGGTAAGTGTCATGTGTCCAAGGCCAGATTTCAACTCAGGTCCTCCTGACTCCAAGGCCACAGCTCTATCTACTACACCACCTAGTTGCCCCCCAAAATCAATACTTTTCTAGTCCCTCAGAATTACCCTGAAGAGCTGTTAGCTTTTTCCTTCTTATTTTCTCCCCAGTTGTAATAGGGGATTCACAGACGATGGAGAATACAGATGATACATAAGAATTAATCAGAATTAGCTTGCAACCTGTCAGGCACCAAGCAGGTTGCAGACATTTATTTCTTTCAGATGTTAGGGGAGAGTCCATTCTAGTGAGTCATATTAATTAAATAATTCATTTTATCCCCATTAAAACCAACTCTGGTCTGCTGTAGGATGTACTGAGAGTTAACAGTGACTCTCTGGGTTCGTGCTTTTGTGTGTGTGACATGGTATAAAAATTTTAATAATTTTATTCTGTGGCAGCTTAAAGTAGAATGGAAAGAAAGATTTCTACTCGTAGCTAATCACTGTTTATCTTTATCTCTCTGGGCCTGAGGTTGGACTCAAGTAGTTCTTAACCTGGAATCCATGAACTTGTGTTTTTGTTTTGTTTTTTAATGTATATATTTTGATCACTGAATTTCAACATAATTGGTTTCCTTTGTAATCATATGTGTTTTATTTTATTCATTTAAAAACCTTATTCTGAAAAAGGGTCCACAGACTTCATTGGACTATATATAAAACTGTTAAGCACCCCATGTAGAAGAACTCCTATCATTCCTTCCTACTTTAAATCCTAGGATGGAAGCTAACTAAAAACTCTAGGTCAGGGCAAGTAGGATATCAAGGATTCAGAGTTCCACCTCCCTCCCCTCTTCCTAGCCTCTTAATCTGCTGTTTTAAAGGTCAACAGTGGTTGTTTAACTCATTTCTCTCTGAAATCTCTTACCTGCTGCATCCTGGGCCTTTCTCAGTTGTCTTATGTCTTGCCACTGGACTTCAATGACTCTGGAGGAGAGAGTGAGGCTGACAGCTTTGTGCAGCTCTGCCTCACTTAAATTCAGGTACAAGTCAAGACATCACCTTTGCCGGGAGTGCCTGCGTCCCCGGCTGTGGTATGATGCCGGCAGAGTGTGATGAGAGAAAGAAACACGGGCCAGGTGAGAGCAGTGAAGAACAAGCTCTGTTTATTGATCTGAGGGCTCAGGCTTATATAGTACTGGATCAAGCAATAGTAACATTATTATTCATGAAAAGTACAAATCTAATTAAGTGATTTCCTTCCTTGTACCTTGTCTGTTACATTCTTTCCTGCGTCCTCTCCTGTACCCCATCCGTTTCCTCCCTTCCTGCATCCTGCATTCTCAAGAGACGGAACAGGGGGGTGGTGAGCTGACATCCTGAGTTTCGCAGCTGTCAGGCTTAGTACAGGCTGCAGGTAAGACCCGGGCTGGCCTAAGCCCTCCAACTCCCCAAAGCCGGCCCTCTATATCTCCCCCTTTCTTCTGTTCTAGCTTGAGAATATGGGATGCACATCAGGAGAAAACTCAAGAGTAACAAGAATACCCATCAGGGTACGAAATGCAACAGCAAACTTGAAATATTCTGGAAAGTGTTAAGTTGCTTGATATGGTACAATAGATTATAAACAATATCTTGAGGATCAATACCATCCATGTTATATTTTTGGAATGCCAAGCACCCTGAAGCCTATTCAATATTTGATCAGGAGTTACATTGGTAGTATTAGAAAGCAAATAGGGAGTTACACAAACAAAAGTATAGTGCTCAAGTTACAGGTTTAACCCAAGGTGGGGTAAAGCATATAAGTCCAATGTAATCATGACTCCATCCCGGAGCCATCCGCGACAGTCATCATTGCAAAAAGGACAGTCAGCATCTTATTATTGGCTCTTTGTCTTCTTGGTCTCACCTTCCTCCTCTGCTTGTCTCTCTGACCAGTTTTTTCTTTGATGCTCAGGGTCTCTATCCCTCTGGTCAGTATGCTGACAGGTGCAGATGTTCATCTCGGGAACCCATACTGGTTCTCCTGCATGTTCTGGAAAAACACAAGCATAACCTCGACCCCAGGTTAATAATTTTACTGGACCATCCCAATTATCTGTCTTTGGATCCTTCCACATTACTGTGACATCTGGTTGCTCATCTAACAACCTGTCCTTTTGCCCTGCAAAATGTTTTTGTTCAGTAGTACATCCCTGATCATCTAGTGTCAAAAATTTTATGGTATATATTACCAGATCCAATCTCCTTTTTAAATTTATGGTATATATGATCTGATCCAATCTCCTTCTTACCCTATTTTCTATTCCCACCTTTTTCTGTTTATCAAGGAGGATTTTAATATCCTTGTTGCACCTTTCAACAATGGCTTGTCCAGTAGGATTGTACGGGATGCCAGTAGAGTGAGTGATATTATAGGTGAGACAAAATTGTGCAAAATTCCTGCTAGTATAGGCGGGACCATTGTCAGTCTTGAGGTGTCTTGGATTGCCAAGAATATTAAAGCAAAACAAGAAATAGTATTGCTTATGTCCTTCTTAAAAAATGTAACTAATCCCTAATATCTGCTTGTCATCATATGATATTCACTTTCCCCCACTTTTTTTTGCACATACTCTGACACATACAGTGTAATTACACTTAAAAAACATGAATCACACATTGATATGAAATAAAGGAATTTTAGAATAAGACCCCTAACATTGTGTAATTGTTCAGTAGAAAAATAGCCAACTAAATATGATTAAGTAGTTTTTAGAACAGCATAAATTTAAGTAGCTAAGAAATCAGGTATGTATAGAAATATGTTTAAGGTTATGCTTCTTGGCAGAAAACACAGAAATAACTAAGTTTCCTATCTGTAGTTAAAAAAAGATTCCCTAATCATTTAATTAATAAAAATTATTTTCAACTCTGAAATGTTGTTTTAACTACTGACCAGGCTATGACAAATTTATGCTGGATTTTCTAATACAAGAGGGAGTTAGGCAGTAGAACTCTGCAGCAAAGCAAAAGAATTTCTTTAGTTATCTACTGAATTCAAGACGGTTTTGTTGGGCAAGGGTAAAAATCTATTTCTAAATATTCAAAGAGAAATAAATGTCCCCTTTCCCACTTCACTTGTTTAATTTGCTTGCAAATCCTCCCAAAGAACCACCAGGACAAATGAAAGCCTAAAAATATTGCTATTAATATTCTAACAAAGTCAGAATGAATAATTTTTTAAATCAAAAAGTTCTATCAAAGATATGTTAAAAAGGACTTATGAAGTTATAGCCTTTTATATACTGTAAAATATATTAAGATTTTAGCTATATTATAACTAGTACTAAGGAGCTGATTCAGAAAATTTACAAGCTACATCTCACTGGAAATTTTAGTATACATACAGTGCATTAGACTGTGTTTAACATACAAACTGCTCATGTCAAATTTCTAAAGCAGAGAGTTTATTTACTCCTACCCTTGAAGTTTCCCCCACCTGATTAAGAAAACAAGTTGATTTGTTTTCTAATTATTGATATAACTTAGCTTCTTAAGTAATTTTCCTCTTTTTTGAATTCCAATGTAATTTTTAAGTTACCTAAATGGTGGTTGTAGATAAAATGATACAAGCTTTATTTTTCTAGAATTACCATAAGATAGAACTCTTGATTTACAAACTGATCTGAAATGAATGGAAGGTTGCAAAGGACATGTATCTACAAAACTGTAAAATTAAGTTTGCTATTTTAGCTCTAACTTCAATAAAACTTTTTTTTATATGTATACAAGGCAAATGTCCCATTTTCTTTGATTATTAAAAAGGATCTAAAATGAAATCCCCTTAACCACTGATTTTGGTTAGTCTGCTCATCTGCCATATCACATTTACCTTTGTTTTTTTAAAAATACTGTTTGGAAATGTGATGGCTGACAAAAAAATGTTAATATACAATTTTCTTTGAGACTCTTGAAAACCACAAAAATTTCCAATATCATAATGACTACAAATTCTAACATTTAATGTGAAGTCATCATAACTCTTTGCATGCCACAACGACACACATAAGGCCAACTTTTTCAGAATGTACTATAACTTGAATAAAATCAAATAGGGAGACATATAAAATGGAAATACAATGTAGCTTCACATCACAGCTCCTGCTTGTCCATAAGACATTATGGAGGGAGTAATAATTTCACTTACACACTGACTTTATAAATGTGATCAGCTGCCAATGTCCTGAATATTTGTGAAATGGGTCTTTTTAACAAGAACAGGACAGCAGCATGGTAACCACTTTTCTAAGTATATTTTCTATACAAAATAATTCCAAGATAAATAAGTTCTCATATAGTACTATTATTTTAAACAATAATCAATAAAATACCAAATATGTGAAAATTACAACACCACTAAGACTGAGCACTGGCATTTCCTAGTGTAATCAAAGTTGGTATTAGTACAGTCTTGGCAATGCAATGGTTGGACAGTACAGGTATCTTATGCAGAGATTTCAGTAGCAGAATGGCACTTGGTTTGTTCTCAATAGAAATGTCAAAGATGCAGTTGACAATTTAAAGAAAGACAATGTTCTTATTTGCATGCTAAAATTCTAGTTGTGTCCCCTGTATTTAAACACTTTCAAATAATATTGTCTGTCTCTCTGTTCTGCCCACGAGCTCTGCCCCACATTAGCTAACTATCTTATAGGACACTACTTAGCCAGTGCAGCTTACTTTCCCTTTAAATCAGAGAAGCCGAAAAGCGGCAGTCTCATTCTGAAGTTTACTTTCGCTTTTGAAGACGCTCAAAGACCGTAGTCTTGTTTGTCCGCCTGTGCGGTTTGCTTTCCCGCCTGTGCGGTTTGCTTTCCCGCCTGTGCGGTTTGCTTTCCCACCTGTGCAGTTTGCTTTCACTTTAAATCTGAGACCCCAATAAGCTGCAGTCTCGTTGTGATGTTCACTTTCGCTTTAAGAGACCCCGATAAGCGGCAGTCTGGTTTCTTTTTAATCCCCGTTTAACCTGGTGAAAATAAAAAACTGTATAGGAAAATTACTGCCCTACCTTGTTAGCGTCTTCTCTTGACGACCGGAGCTCCTTTTCTAGGGCTGTTGGCGAAATAGCCCACCTTGTCCAGGGCCACCCTGCCGGGGGAAGCCTTCCTTTCAGGTCCCTCTCTAGGCGCCAAATGCCAGGAGTGCCTGCATCCCCGGCTGTGGTCTGATGCCGGCAGAGTGTGACGAGAGAAAGAAACACGGGCCAGGTGAGAGCAGTGAAGAACAAACTCTGTTTATTGATCTGAGGGCTCAGGCTTATATAGTACTGGATCAAGCAATAGTAACATTGTTATTCATGAAAAGTACAAATCTAATTAAGTGATTTCCTTCCTTGTACCTTGTCTGTTACATTCTGTCCTGCGTCCTGTCCTGTACCCCATCCGTTTCCTCCCTTCCTGCATCCTGTTCTCAAGAGACGGAACAGGGGGGTGGTGAGCCGACATCCTGAGTTTCACAGCTGTCAGGCTTAGTACAGGCTGCAGGTAAGACCCGTGCTGGCCTAAGCCCTCCAACTCCCCAAAGCTGGCCCTCTACACACCTTCATTATGTCGTTGGTCCTCTTCAAGAATGAAAGATGAACAACAAACAACTATCTTTGTGTGAATTCTCTAGAACTTGGCATCCAGCCTGGTTTGGATACTTTGAGGCCAAGGTCCATGATGCAGCACTATTGAGGTTTAGGCGTGTAGGTGTGATAGCACCCCAAAATCACAACATGCAGGTCCTGCCAGAAAAAATAGGACCCAAGCCTTCTTTCAGCCAAAGACAAGGTTTATTAGAACATCCGTTATATTGGGCAGACTCTTAAGGAGTCTGAACATTAATTAGCGAGCTAGATTATAAGAATCTGAGCATTTTAATGGAGACAAGGTGGACCTTATATACAGAAAGACTCTGGGAGGGACCCAGGAGTGGCCAAGTAGTTTGGGGTGACTGGAGGAGGGGTCTAAGGAAGATCTGAATGGGAGTGGCCAATAAGCTGGGATGAACAGAACTCCCTGGAACCTGGACCTCCTGGCTAAGGGAAAATGGAACCTAGCTAGGATTGAGAGTGGGAAATGGCTGGGGGCCATAGGGAGGTAAAACAAAGAAAAACTAGGCTAGATTAAGGGTAACAGAATTGGGAGATTAGGTGTAGCCACAATGAAAGGCCAGTTGATGGGATTACAGCCTCAGGCAAAGGCCAGAGATTTGGCCTTGTGAGAAAGTCCAGGGTTTTTCATTTTGGGGGTCTAGCTGCCATCCTCATCAGCACTTGATGCATTTCTAGATCTGTTGCTTATAGCATTGACAAGAAAAGTCATAGGGCTATAGAGCTAGAGCTGGAAGGGATCTTATAGGCCATCTAATCCAACCCCCTCATTTGACACATGAGGAAATTGCCCTCTGGAGGGTTAGGTTTAGTGACTTGCTTAAGGTCCTGCCGATAGTGGCAAAGATGGGGGTTTTAATTCATGTCCCGTGACTCAGTTTTATCACTCCTTACACTTCACCTTGCTGATAACTTATCTGGGACTGTGGGAAGAATTAAGTTGTTCTTTCTTGTCCCATCAGAAATTTTCTCTTTTCTTCCTCCAGAAGCATGGCTTTAAAGACCTAATGGGATGTTGTAGAGGCCCCTGGGGGGATTACCCAAAAGATTTATAAGAATCCCTTATCCTTTGTTTTATCTCAAATGCCTTTTCTCCTTCAGACCTTAGTTGCCAGCCATTTTGTTCTTTTATCAAAGAGATTTTGCATGAAGCTGCTTTCTCCTCTAGTAGTATAGTCTTAAAGATCACTTAAAGAGTGAGTTCATTAACCAGATTTAAATGATTAATTATTCAGGAAATTTTACCTGAAGCTATGCCCTCCTTTTACATTTCAAATAGGCTTAGTTACTTTCTTTTGTCTCTTAGCCTTGAAGATTTTATTTAAGATTTCCCAAAGATTCTTTCTTCCTCTGGAGCCTTTAAGATTTTGAGTGTCTGTCTTAAAGAGAATTTTATATGTACATACATATATACACACATACATGTATGTGAAACCCTTTTCAGTTTTTCATTGAAAAATATTCTCTCTTCTCTATCCAAAAGCATAGCCTCAAAGAATAAAAGTTATTTTTCTTCCAAGACTCTATTGACACAATCAGCAAAAGAATGATTTCTTTTAATCCAGTTTTGTAATTGCAAATGTATCTTGGCTTTTTTGTATTTTACAGTATTTTACTTTTATTGGCAAAATGATGGAGTTGGACCAACTGAACCCTAAAATTTTTTCCAGCTCCTATATCCCATGGTGTTTTGAGCAACCAGTTTGTGCAAAGCACTGTTTTAGAGAATGCAAAAAAAAAAATGTGTAATTGACTTCTAAATAAAAATTTACATTAATTTTTACAGAGGAAAATTAATAGAAGCCATGGGATATATGTGTGTACACACATACATATATACATACATTTTTATCACTAAAACTTAATTCATCCACTTCTGGGCAAAAACTGAGAATGATTTGGCTGCTTCTCACAAATCGACTATGAAAAATCAAAAATACAGAGGGTCAGCATTGAACTTGAGACTACTTTGGGGTATATGGAGTCTTACCTGAATTACTTATTAATTATTAATATTTCATCCTGAAAACTACTTCATAAATAGTCTATATATAAATAAATAAAAACCTAATATAACAATTTCTGGAAAATACCCAAAGATTAATGATAAATCTTTCTTTTCAATTACCTTCAACTCTAAAACATCTTAAATTCCTAATCCTTACTTGAGTCCTATAGAGAACCATTCATTCATAAAAATGAATTCCATTTAGTTTTAAATGGAATCTCCTTAAAACTTCTTCTATCAAAGCAGCACACCTTCTTTGCAACTTATGAGAGTTGCCTAAAGAACTGAGAAGTTAAGTGACTTGTCCACAGTCACACAGCCAGTCTGAGTCCAATGTGGGACTTCTTGGATCTGAGGCCTGCTCTCTGTCCACAAGGCAACACTGCTTCTCAGGCTCAAAATAATAAGCACTTAAAATATTTTTAGCAGAAGCACTAATACAAAAATGGCACATCAACTTTCCCCACTTTCTAATAAAGATGAATAGGAGAGGTGCCAAAGAGTAAAGTTCTTATAGGAACATTTTCTACCTTAAACTATAGTCAAAGATATTGAGTGGGATAGAGAACACTTACCCAAATAAAAATTCAGAGGTTTCTTTCAGTAGAAAGGGAAGTTTTATTCTAGCAAGTCTCATGTGAGAATTGGGCATCACCTACCCAGGGCAGACTGGAGTAGGGAGGCAGGATACAAGCAGCAAGCAAGCAGTTATATACCCTTAGACAAACAACTCTAAGAAACCCCTACCCCCCACTTGTTTACCTCAATCTCTTTACCCTCATTGGTTGAGGTAAGAGACCTTACATTCTACCCAGAAACTAAGCTTGGGAGCTAGAAGATTGCCTTATTTGGCAAAGATAAGGCTGGGGTGGTGGTTACAAAACAAGGGAGGGGGTGGGCAACAGATGTATGACTCAATCACATGATTTACAGGAAAATGAAACTTAGGCCCAGCTAATGCTAAAGCCTTAACTAAATTTGGGGGCATAGCTTCCATTTCATATGAGAAAATTTCACTTGTCCCACAGAGCCCCCCTCTCATTTCATAGTTGAAAGTTTCTCACGCCAAAACTGGTAAGTTTCTGCAGCCTCCCTGTTTGCTATTTCATCAGGGTTTAACCTTCCCTCTTCTTCCTGACTGACCATCATCCACCCTTGATTCCCCAATATCATCAGTCTTATGGACTCACTAACAAGCTCTTTTAATGTAATTGTTCTAGAGAGTGTCCTTTGTACAGTGGTCATGCAAGGGACACACACTGGGAATAGTATGACTCCACTCACTGCTATTAATAAGAACCATAAAACCTGCTTCCATCAAGTTCCCCCAAACCAGGACCACCCCTTTAAGTAAATATGGGAAGGATTAATCTGAGCATTGACAAATCAAAGGGGCATAAATGTAGATACAGAGACCCAAAAGAAAACAGTAATGCAATTGTCCCTTTAAGATTCAAAAATTCTTTTCTTGTACAACTGTCTGGCAGGGAACACCATCAGTGAAGTCCTCTTGTCATTGGTATTTGCTGCAGCCATCTCCAGCACAGCATCTCAGAATCTTCCTCTTCTTCTTCTTCTTCTTGTAGGAACCATCTTTCTGTCCATTCTCCTACAGAAGTGATCTTAGCACAATTTTAAATCACTATTTCTAGTCTTTATAACCCTGATCATTTTTGCAAACTCAAAATTAAAATCATGGCCAACTGTCATGTTTAAGAAATTCATATCAGAACCCAGTGTCTTATACTTTACATTAATCCATTATGAGACTTCACTATGGAATTAATCACAGGCCTCAGTACATACATACCAATTTTTTTTTTAACACAGTACATATAAAATCTTAAAATTTTAGTCATGCCTTGTTTTTTTGATGGCATTTACAAAATAAATTACAAGCCATTCTTCTTTTGACATTATTAATCAATGCTAACAAAACTTTAGACGAGTATGCTATTATCCAAATAACAAAGTAACATTCTCACAAGCCCCTGATTATCTCCATACCATTATCAAGAATTAAAAGGCCCTAACTCAAACCGGAACACAGTCCCAGTTCTATAATAACCTAAGATGTTCTATAATCAATTATTTTAGTAAATTTGTTACTGTACTTATAAAACCTTCTGACTAGAGAGACTTACTATAGAAGGAAAAAGAGCAGGAACCTGTCCTTAGCTTTGTTTAAATTCAGATAGAGTTGCAATTCTCCAGTCATGCAGTATCTGTTTCTCCTCATAGCCAAACTTAAGAATAGTCAGGTGGGACACATTCCTGTCCAAAGGAACACAATGGGGAAACTGAGCCAGGAGGATCCCATCCCAGATTGAGGCTAAGATTGTCCCCTCGGCCTTTTTCACAAATGAATCACAGTTCCTCTAAATCGACCTCCAACTGTTCTTGTGGTATTTCTCTCAGATACTGATTTAATGCAGACAACTATACCCAAATTCAAAATCAAAACAAAATTAGTTTTAGTCCCAAGAGGCTTTTACCTCAAAGAGCAAGTCTCACCAATCACTGATGCAGAGGGGGAGAGAAAGAAAGCGACTTTCTGGAGTCCAGCTGCAGCCTTTTGCTGTCTGGCTACAAAAGATACACACTGACACTCACTCATACCACACACAGACACAAACACACACACACACACACACACAAATAGACATACAACCCTCCACCCTGTAGAATCCTCAAATCATCAAATCATATTTAATCATTTTCTTCCTATCCTTTCCTCTGTATTTTGGTAGTTCACTCCAATTCTGCAATCGATTACCTAAAGGACTGTCTATAGCTACCTCACATTTTTGCGCTCCGACTGCGCAGATTTAGATTGTTCCTTTCCCATTCCTAGGTCCTCACCTAGGGAATTTATGGGAGTTGTCACCAAATTCCCCGAGTCTAAGGACTCAGCCAAATTACCGAGGAAGGTCGCCCACTCCTCACCAGTCACCAATGAAGCTTTCTCAGTGCCGTCCTTTCAATGAGGTATCTATTCCGCAATTTGATTAGGCCCAGACTTCGCCTAGAGTCTGCCCTAAAGGGCCCTCACCCTATGCCAATTACCTCCAGACCCCTGAGTGCTTACCTCTGGGTTGCACACGTACAATTTACGTGACTGCTTTCACTCACAAGCTGGCTGGAATTTCTTAGTTTCGTTTTTAGTCTTCGGAGCCCTAACAAGCCTTCTGTTTCTCCAAGTCCCTCTCTTCGGGTGTATTTCAATGACTGGGTGGTAACCTCCCTCCAGGGCTCAAGACCTCCGAGAAATCTTGAATACGCACTTGGTCTTGACTTCGGCAAGGAAGCTCCCTCCCTGATCAAAGAAAATTCCAGACAGTTTCCCAACTGAGTGGGATTGAGACCACCTACCCAAATAAAAATTCAGAGGTTTCTCTCAGTAGAAACAGAAGTTTCATTCTAGCAAGTCTCGCGCGAGAATTGGGCATCACCTACCCAGGGCAGACTGGAGTAGGGAGGCAGGATACAAGCAGCAAGCAAGCAGTTATATACCCTTAGACAAACAACTCTAAGAAATCCCCACCCCCAACTTGTTTACCTCAATCTCTTTATCCTCATTGGTTGAGGTAAGAGATCTTATATTCTACCCAGAAACTAAGAGATACATTTTACCCAAAACAAACTTGGAAGCTAGAAGATTGCTTTATTTGGCAAAGATAAGGCTGGGGTGATGGTTACAAAACAAGGGAGGGGGTGGGCAACAGATGTATGACCTGATCACATGATGTACAGGAAAATGAAACTTATGCCCAGCTAATGCTAAAGACAACTAAATTTTGGGGCATAGCTTCCATTTCATATGAGAAACTTTCACTTGTCCCACACAATATATCTTGGATATAACTTTCAAGCTAGTGTTTAAAGTTAAATCACTTAACCACTGTCCACCTCTGTTTCCTTATCTCTAAAATAGAGATAATAATAGCACCTACCTCCTAAGGGTGGTTGTGAGGATCAAATGAGATAATATGGTAAAGTGCCTAGCACAGTGGGTGGCACAAAGTAGGTGCTATAAAAATGTTTATTCCCTTTCCCTATTCCTTCCTCCCAATCTACTGATCTGACAAAGTGTCATCCAGAAACTTTCACACATTTAATGCATAATGATGGGATGTCCCATCCTGTGAAAACTAAAATTAAAAATGTGTTAGTCAAAATTAACAGAAGTGTAAAAAAAATTAAATAGTAATATTTTAAAATTATTTTTGTAGATTTATAGCATTTATAATTCTGATTATTACAACCTAAAACTGCACTAAGATTTTTGGGGAATACCCTGTTCATAGCTAGGAATGAGAGGCAGCATGATATAGTGGATAGAGAGCTGGCCTTGTCAGTAGGAAGAGGTAGGTTCAAGTCCTGCCTCTGAGACATACTAGCTTCATGACCCTGGGCAAGTCATATGTTGATTTTCATTAATAATGGGAGTTTCTCATTGGGATCTTCTCCCTGTGAAATCACAGGTCTGGTTTAGAAAGAAATAAGGTTAAAAGGGATGGCCACTATCCTTTCTAAAAACTTTAGAAAGTTTCAGTTAACAGATAGCCTTGACTGTTAAGCTGAATTTTAAAAAACAAAAAAACAACCCAACTACCATTCCTATGAAATGCACGTGAGGAGATTTACTTTTATGTACTATATTTGTCCCAATTCAAGTCTTGCAGCTAAAGCCAATATACTGCGCAGACTAATTACCCAGTGTTAAGAATAACTTTTTAGGAAAAACAAAGACTCCCAAGGTAGATGAGGCAAGCTCATTTATTATACCTTCTTGCAAAAAGTGGGCATGCTGCTAGAGGTAGACACACCCTACAGAAGCAAAAGCAAGCAGTTATATTCTCGTCACCAAACCCAAAGTCCCTCCCTTGTTTCTTAATTGTCTGGATACTTCGAGGTGTATAACTCCCCAAGTGCCTACTTCATATTACTCCCTCTACATATAACATTGTGCCTAAAATTGTGTTAATCCTCCCCCCCCAGGAGAAGATAATATTCATAGAGTCATTAAGCACACAAAGTTTGAAGCAATTTGTAATCTTTGTCCTACTTTCAGCACTTTTAACCACACTCCTAGTTTTGAAAAACAATTCTAAGTAAAACTGCTCCTTTTGCCCCTGTGGCAACTTCTGAATTCTGTTAATACTATTTCCTCTACATCTGTGGAAACAAAATTTTCTTATACCTTACACATAGGTTTTTCCATATTGCTCTGCAGAACAGGAAATCTTTATTGATTAATGATTTTGAATGGCTTTGAAGTCATAGCATTTTAGAGTGGGAAGAGACCTCAGCAACCACTGAGGAGGCCAACCCATACTAGAAAATTACTCCTTTACAGCTTCTCTGTCAAGTGGCTGTCTAGACTCTGCTGGAAGATGTCTGATGAGAGGGAGGCAACTGCTTCCCAAGGCAGCCCATTTTACTTTGAGATCCTCTGAATGTTAGGCAGCTTTTCCTTATGTCAAGTCCAAAGTTGGCTCTCATGTTCTACCCCTTGTTCCTATTTCTACCTTCTGTCTGTTCCTTCCTCCATAAGACATCCCTTCAAGTACTTGAAGCAGGCATGTCCCACAGTATCTTCTTTTCCTCAGATTAAATCATTAACTGATAGTAACTAACAGTTGACACTTTTATAGCATTTTAAGATTTGCAAAGTGTTTTACATATATCATCTCATGTGTGGTCCTTATAACTGCGACTTTGAGTTTAGAACCATGGGCAATATGATCCCCATTTTACAGATCAGGAAACTAAGGCACAGTAAGGTTAAATGGCTTATCTGGGGTCGCATAGCTAATAAATTTCTGAGCTGAGCTTCAAATATAGTTCTGACTCTAACTCGGTGCTCTGACATAGTGTCAGAGGTAGGATTCATACCTAGGTTATGACTGAAACCAGGACTGGAATTGTTCCATTTAACAGATAGATGAGGCAGAGCAGGTAACAACAGTACCATTTATATAGTGCTTTATATAGTGCATCAAGGAAAATGGAGACAATGTTGTATTAGCAGAGTTGTTCATTTTTCAGTCGTGTCCAGCTCTTCATCATGACCCCATTTGAGGTTTTCTTGGCAAAGATACTGGAATGGTTTACCACTTCCTTCTCTAGCTCATTTTAGAGATAAGGAAACCAGGGTTAAGTGACTTGCCCAAGGTGACACATCTAGTAAGTATCTGAGGCTGGATTTGACCTCAGGTCTTCCTGAATCTAGGTCCAGTGCTCTATCAACTGAGCCATCTATTTACCCTGCATTAACAAAGGGAATGCTGCAAAACTCAGATCATACGTTGATCATCGATATACTGTTTGTAAAACACTTTATAAATCTTGTCTTATTTGATCCTCACAACAACTCTAAGTAGTAGGTGCTTTTATTGTCTCCATTTTACAGATGAGAAAAGGTAGATAGAGGTTAAGTGACTTGATGAAGATCGCATAGATAGCAAGTAGCTGAGGCAGGGTATAATCTAGTGGAGAGAGGCAGTATGGATCTGGCAGCACCCTGATGTCAGTCAGGATGCAAATAGGCCTCAAAACCATTGTGTATGAGAATTAGTTGTAGGAACTTAAGGTATTTAGCCTGGAAAATAGGAGACATAGAATGGAAGATAACATACCTGTCTTCAAGTAAGGACTGTCATGTGGAAGAGGGTGTCAACCTGTTCAACCTAGCCCCAGAAGGCAAAATTAAGAGCAATCCATGGAGAAACACTTACCAAAAGTTGGAGTTATCCCAAATGAAAAGGGATGTCTTCAGAAGTTCTGAGTTCTCTCTCCCTAGAAGACTTCAAACAAAGGTTGGGTGATCACTTGTCAAGGATGTTATTGGAGGGATGCTTGTTCAGGTGGAGTCCTTTCCAACTCTGAGATTCTGTGATTCAGTAATTCTGAGGTTGCCCTACAGAGCTAGACCCTGGCTAAAGAACAGTCTAGGACATGAAAAGTTTGGTCTGCTTTTGCCATCTAGTGGTAGAGTTGGGCAATGATTGAGCTGTCTACCTGAATGAGGGGGGCTCTAATGACAAGTACAGATTGTTCTGGCTTTATGTAAATTCACATTATGCCAATTCAACTTTACTTAAAGAATTCTGAAAGAAATAGGAATAAGGATTTTGACTGAGGATCTGATTCAACTGCCAGCTGCAAAGATTGCAGAAGAAGAAAGGGAAGTTTCAGAATCTGAGGTTAAACCAAAAAGGTTCACAATGAAACAGTTGTCAGAAGCATTTAATCATTTGAGTGAACTTTTTTCTTGTATTGAAAATACAGATCCAAAGACTTCAAGATTTTTAAAAATTCAAAGATTAGTTGAAGATAATATTGCTTACTATCATCAGATATATGGGGGCAGAGGGAGGGGGGGAAGAGCCACTGTTTAAACATCTCTTGATAGCTTCATAAAAAAAAGTTGCAGAGCTAACCACCAGAGCTAAAGGTAGCAGGTGTAGTGGGTGGGGAAGGGGCAACATACTGCACACCAACATTAATTTTTCTGTACACTACTTCACATACTTTATCATTAACTTCATCTTTCATTTCATAATTCTGTTTATTATCATGGCAGAGTACTTAATAATGTCTGCATTTAAGTACATCTTATGACTTGTGTAAAGGTATTTTTTTTTGTATATGCCTTTGTTATATAGGTTAAGTGAAGTGGGTAGGTAAGGGGCAAATTCTCATTACATAAAAATCATAAAAATCGCTTTATGTAGAGGTGTCTGGAACAGTCCACTAAAGTAAAGTGAGAACTGTCTGAATAGGTGAAAAAGCAGAGTAATACAATAGGAGGCACGTCAGAAGTCTTACATTGATGCTTAGCTTCTTGCTTGCCAGCTCGAAAGCCCCATGACTTGAACAGGAATTAAAAGGTGATCATTCTCTAACTGAAAGGTTCTTTCTTTGCCCTAAAGAATTTAGGGAGCTGGCAACTTCTTATCTGATGATCCTCCAGTCATCTCAGCTGTTATTGTACAGTTGTTTCAGTCTTTTTTGACTCTTCATAACCCCATTTGGCAAAGATACGAAAACAGTTTGCCATTTCCTTCTCCAGCTCATTTTGTAGATGAGGAAACTGAGGCAGAGTTAAGTGACTTGCCCAGAGTCATACAGCTAGTCTGAGGCTGGATTTGAACTCAGGTCTTCTCCAGGCCCAGCACTCTATCCACTGTACCACCTAGCTATGCCAGTCATCTCAGAGGTGTGTGGATATGTATGTATAGATATGCATACATAAATATAAACATACATGTATATATCTATATATGTGTATTATATATACATACATACATACAACCATGGGACATAGATTCTGGAATGATTATACCCTTTCTAGTACAAAATAAAGGAAAATGGGGGTGGTGTAGCATT